TTTAAATAAAACCCATAATTTATGGGATTAAAAATAATAAAATATAAATTATACTGTCTATTATATTGTGTGTGTGTATACATATATGTATGGGTACATTAACCAAAATTAACAAAAAAAGTTATTGTACCAAAACATGGATACATTCTCAAATCAATGAAAAAGAATGTACCCATATAAGTTTAAACATGGATTAAAAAATTTGAATGGATTTTATATTAAAAAAGGGTATATTTTACATATAACAAATTGATATATATGAGAATGGGTACATTGATGATTAAAAAAATTGAAAATTATATGAATGGGTACATTTAAGATTAAAAAATTGAGAATCTTTATATATATATATATATAACTAATAGGTACAAACTTAATTTAATTTAATTTTTTATTATTTTGAAAATGTTTGAATTGAAAATTAATTAGAAGTTTAATAGAGGTGTGAGTATTAAACCCTAAATTAATTACTAATTTTTATATTAAAAATTATATAATAAACATGTAAATTCATTATCACATTAATGTTAGGGACTTGAATCAAAATTTGAGAACTAATAAGGTCTTAGTCAATAAACAGTAAAAACTAGGGACCGGATACTAATTTTTCCTTTATTTAAATAGTCCAACCAGACTGAGTCACAAATGACACCTTATTATATATATGTCCTTTAGTACAAATTCTACGATAGAAAACGGTTTTATTTAGTTTTAAATTTTAATATGTTCCAATTCCAAAGGATCCCAAATTGAAAATTTGTAATGCTTCTAAGTTTTCTAACTAATATTATTGCATGAATATTAAAACATTGCCCAGTTTCACTTGGAGGCTGCAACTTTTCTATTTTTTGTATGAATAATAAGCTAATAACTTTATATACTTCCATTAACAGGTGAAGATTCTGAGGAAGGAATCCTACTGGTTCAAAGGCATTGGATCTGTTGTAGCTGTGGATCAGGTCTGACCTATCTCTCCCTCTCAATTGAAATGAAAATGAACATGGAAAATGGTGCGCTTTTCTTAAAATTTCTGTGTTTATATCCATTTTGCAGGATCCGAATACCCGTTACCCGGTCGTGGTCCGGTTCAACAAAGTTAACTATGCCAATGTGTCAACAAATAACTATGCTTTGGACGAGATTGAAGAAGTTAAATGAGTTTGTAGTAGCACTGTAAATTGTAATCTTAATTACATTCTCCTTCTATCAATTTCTTCCTAGTTGTTGGTGCCCCTTATTTTTGTATCATACTCTGTGATTTCACTGCATGCTCAAAATCCCAATCGATCGATATAAATTCATAGAGTATTATTGTATTTTCTAAAATTTCCACAAGGATTGATTGCAGATTAGCTTCGCTATATTTTTGTCCATACAGCTCTTTCCAAGTATATAATATCATAAGAAAAACTATCCTACATACCGCGGTTCTCTCTTTACCATTGTATCTTTATCTCGCGATAAAGAGAGAAGTGGTATATCAAACTGGTTTTTTTTGTTTTTTTTTTATGGAAAATGATTTATGCACTCACTTTTCTCCTTATACATTCTGACCCTTGTCATTTTTATCGGTTCTCCTTTCATTTATATCTAAAGAGCGTAAACAAGCAAGCGTGTGCAAGGGGTGAAAAACTTGCGCAAATAACTTCTCTTTTCCATTAACAAAAAAATCATTAAACAATTCCAAAGACGATTTCCAGAACCCAATAGGCAGGACTCGTTGTTCAAACATAAGCATTTTATGTTTCGGAATGTGCAAATCCTTGCGGGCACCAGGATGTTTGTTTTACGTGTTTGGCCGAAACAAAAAACCATATAGTTAAGCTTAAGCACCCAATAATGCAAGAGAGTCGGGAGATACTCAAAAAATCGATAAGCATGCAAGTGCTTATAAATGGCACATAACACCACAATATTCTCAACAGACTGCAGAGTCATGACAAGTAATGAATCACTAGAAACTAATCTATGTCATAGCAAAGATTTCAAGAAATCCAGAACTAGGAACTAATCTATACAAACGAAAAATATTTTCTTAAACTCTTCCATCAACCCCGTCGAGGAGACCAGACCACATTCCCTTTACAGGTGGTAACTGCGCAACAAAAGCATTCCAAGGTGGGTAACCAACGCCACTGCCACGAACACGACCATCCAGGCGAAGAGATATATACCTGGCAAAAAAAAAAAAATTGATGTAGAATTACTCAAGAAGTGATCTTATGCGAATTTTGTTGATTATTGGCTCAAACAAAGTAGTCTAAAACCAACAATTGATTTCGGCTACTTTTGTGGTCAAAATTGTTGGTTGGCATGCTACATGTGGGAAACAAAAATTACATGCAATTGTGCCTAACTCTTTTGACTTGATGGTAGGCCTTTGGCCATTGATGTCTTTGAGAAGCTTTTCTTTGGCTATAAAAGGGGAGCAAGGTGCAGCCCATAAGCATTGTAGAGGAGAACAAGGAAGAGAGAAAAATAGCAAGAAGCCATTCGGCATAGAGAAGAATTTTCTCAAATTGTCTTGTTTTGTATTTTTGGTTTTCTCTTCCTATTGTAAGTGTGAGAGCTTGGGTTATTCGGGTCTTTGGGAAATTGAGTGATAAACACTATTGTATGTTCTCATTGATTATAGTGGAATACTCCGTCGTCTCCAAACTGGATGTAGGCATTGCCGAACCAGTATAAATCTTGGTGTTCTTGTTGATAGTGGTTTTATTCTGTTCTATTTAACTATTCACTTACAGTCGTATGCCGCTTCCGCACAACAAATTTACCCAAGAAAATAGACTCATTGGTTAAAAGCACAAACTATACAAACTGCCATAATATGATATATTAGGCATACGGCATTTGGCTAGTGGATTAAAGGTAAAAGCAAGGATGGAAGAAACGCTTACACGGGAGAGTCAGAGGTAACACCGGCCAGCTTCTTTTATTCGTCCAACCAACTACAATATCCAACGAAAAAATGAGTGTTTTTGACGAGAGAATAAGAACTTGTAAATGATTAAATCATTTTGTTTTGAAAAAGGTTTACTTACTTGGTCCATTCAGTGACATTAATTGGAGTCAGCTGCCAGAGTCTTTTCCTCTTTGCAGTAATATCCTTAGCCTCTTCACTTTCTTCAAACTCAAAACTAGGTACGTTTCCATGCGTAGCCAAGGGCACAACGAGCACTCCTCTTTCCACAGGCCCTTTAGTGAAAGGCTCACTTCGATTGAAGGATTCTGTGATGAACGATGCAGGGCCAGCACATATTACCAGCCGAGCAATCCCTCTCAAAGAGCTAAGGAGAATGACTTTCTTTTCAGAAGCACGAAGCTTAAGATTCGAAAGGTTTTCCTCTCGAGAGAGCCTAGCAATCTGTGCATCTTTGGCCTTGTTCTCCCTCAAATACAAAAATGCAAAGAGAGACACTGCTCCAAGGTCTTTGCCAAGACCCTTGGCAATTTCGGTGGCATCAAGTGCTCTTGATGGGTTTGTTCGTGCTGCAATCAACTGTGTGGTTGCTATTAGTCCTCCTAAACCACCACTTGCAATGAAAGCAAGATAGAAAAACATTCGAACGGAGCGAAAGGGAGTGAGAACTTCACTCCTGATCCTGGCTGTGGAACTGAGGAACAAACAAACCTATGATTACAAGAAGCCTAATGTGTAAACTAGAAGCTGATATAGCACAATGCATTGGATTGAAAGGCAGAGAGCCAAAGAACCCAAGTTGCCAAAGATGTTGAAACCGGGAAAACCCCAATACTAGTCTATCTACTTCAATTTAGAACCAGTTCCGTTCATAGTACAAATAGGTAGAACTTATCAAATATCCCAGAAAATTGATGCAATGATCTTGAAAATTTCAAATTTGCAACACTATGGCACAACTACTACCAATCACAGATGTTCATTTGGTCATGTCCCAACAATCCAATTATCCAAGAAAACATTAAGATATGGTGTAAGCTTAAATCTAAGGAAATATGCACATGTAAAACCTGTTAAAAGCTTTTAATAAATAAGAAAATAACCGAAAGGACACTAAACAGACAATAACAGGACACTAACTATGTTATGTATACACTTTATCGTCTGTCTAGGGTCTCCAATTATGTTTTCAATTAGAATTTGTAATCTATTCTATTTGTGCAGAACTGCCCTTAAATGAATCATACGAAACAATCATTCTCAAAATACTGGAAAAGGGAAGACCTGATTTCAGTAGGAGAAGTTTGCTTATCAGTTGCAAAGCATGTGATGGTTGAAGACTTATGCTTTGAGGTCTGCAGAGTGAGAAATGGTGCATTTGTACAAGAGAATGACCAGAGGGTCGTTCTGATTCCACTGCTGAGTTTGTAGTGAGTGTGATTTCGAGGTTTGAGGATGTGTAAGGGAGAGTTTGCAACAGAAGCCATGGCCACCGCTTGAATTCAGAGTTCTTGTGTTGCTTTTTAGAGTTTGGCAATGGTTTCTTGGGAGGCCGCATTTGGATGAACACAATACTGTCACCTCCCACAACCCAAATGGTAGTAATTACAGCCAGTCTTATTTTCTCTCTTAACCTTTTTTTCCCTTTTGTTTGTTTCTTAGGAAAATAGAAAAAAAACACTTCCCCTGGAAACGGCAGTGTTTAGCAGCATAATTAGTTATTACTATATCACATTGTGTTATTGATTTACATATTATAATATAAGTATGTAACATGATTAATATGTCATGGATGTAGAAATTACGAAATATATTAATAAATATATTTATGTGTTATAACATGATTTTATTAGTGATATCATGTAGCAATGTGATTATACTGAATCGATAAATTTTTTATTGCGACAATCATAACATCACATGTTGTTTTGTATTCCACGTTTTAAATCAATATATACACATGTTACTATAAGAAAATATGATAATTGCGACATCTTTTCTACTACGCGCGTGATGAGGCCCTCGCAATAACTATTAAATTTCATTATTTTCTGTGCGCTAAACTTTGGCGCTCTGTTGTATGGGACATGAATAAGTTCCGTCGCACGCACCTCTGTTGTGAATAAGTAGAAGAAAAGAAAAAAAACTGCACGCTCTCATCTCCCTCTCGCTCTCCGCCTCTCTCGTTCTCGTTCTCCGCCTATCTTCCTCTCTTCAAAGCATATAGATCATTCTTTGCCACTCTTGCGACAATCACTGATGCTGAGACACAATTGAACCAGGTAAGGATTTATGTTTCTTGTTCCTCTCTCAAATCTCCCCTTTCCCTAACCCTAATGTTTTTGGTCAGCTCTCAGTTTTTTCTTTTTGCTGCTAGAAATTCGAATTCAACCTCATCCTTTCTCATTCGGTAAGATTATTTGAGGAATTATCTTCTAATTTGTTTTTTCTTGGTGTTGTTTCATCATTTTCAGCAAATTCCAGTCTTATCTATTCTCCATCAGTTCTCCCGTTGTTTAGGGTTTTTTTTTGTCTTTTCTATGTTCAATTTCATCAGTAATTGCTAATATTGTTGGAGGATTTTTTTTTTTTTTTTTTGTTGTAATTGGAGCTAGTCAAAGAAGTATGCTGGCTTGGTTTTGTTTATTTATTCTTTAATGGCACTGGTGACTCAATTAGCAAGAGAAGCAGAAATTTAGGGATGGATTAATTGGAGAAGGATGAGTAAGAAAGCATTGATGAATGCAGAGACAATGGCGGTGCTTTTGTGAAGAAGCACGGAGTGGTCAGAAAAAGGTGAGATTTGTAGAGGAAAAGGAAAGAACTGTTTGGAAAGGAATGGTGAATGATGAGTCGAAATCAGAGCAAGACGGAGGAGAAAATGGAAAGCGGGCCTCTAAGAAAAGTGAGAATGGCGTGTAGTTTAAAGGTAGAAGATAAATTGGGGCATTCTGATGACATCGATACAGAGTAAGGTTTGTGAAGAAGCAAGAGAGTAGGTTATTTTCTTACGGCCATAAAGGATCATACAAAGTAGGAAGAAAGAAAAGTAAATAAGCAGTCCAAGAAAGTAAGTAATTTGTAAATTCTATGTTTATGTCATTTGTTGTCAATGTTGTGATTTATAATGTAATTGATCTGGTATGCAAACATAATTGGTATATTATGTTTATGTTGTCATTTGTTGTGACTGTTGTATAAAAATCTATGTTTATGTCATTAGTTAACGAAATTGCCCAAGCTCGCCGCAGAGAGTGTAAGAAGAAACGATTATGTATTCCTTGCATACAAAAATGCCATGCATTAATTTGCTCTATATCTTTTAATATTTCTTATTAGTAACCTACTAAGATGTTGGGTTAATTGAGTTCGTTTTGTTAGAATGGCCACCACCTTTTGAAGTGAGTTGTCTGAGTAGAATCCAGTAAATGACGTTTGATTAAGTGTTATGATGTCATCCGCATTCAACCATCATGTGTTTGTAGTGAGCTTCTACTGATTCATGTATGTTAGACCATTAATTCTATTATTACATTAAGAATTACTCCACTATTTTATCTTTAAGAAATGTAGCTACTTTCGTGTTGTTTTGCTGTAATAACTTGGTCTGTATAAAAGGCTGATCTACGTTATAAATTGGTGTCTTACTGTTCCCCTCCATCTTTGTTTCTTGTGTTTTTTCCCCATATTTTGTTCCTCTTTCCCTAGAAATTGGCTTGGTTGGGTAAAAGCTACTGCTAAGGTCGAGTGAAATCAGATGTTGCTGTGATGAGTTGCATCAAAATTCCACTATAACAGGCAGTGGCGGATCCAGGAAATAATGTTTGTGGGGTCATAGCGCGCGCAGCGCGAAATTTTTTTTTAGCCTCGTTTGGTACTTCGGACTGTACTGACTATTTCAGTAGGATAAGATAAATAGTCGTCGGATAGTACTAACTACATTAGTCGGGCGTTTGGTGCAATGTCGAATTAATCTGGGCAGGGAACAATAATAAATTTTTTTAATAATTTTTAACAAAATAATTGGTGTTAAAATGAAAAAACTCACAATATAAACAAATGAAATTGGGGCTTTTGATTGTATAGGAGTCGGGTAGGAAGGCTGGGACTGGGGGGGGGGGGGGGGGGGGGGGGGGGGGGGGGGGGGGGGGGGGGGGGGGGGGGGGGACATGGTGGGAATTTATTTTATTTTTTTTTTGTTCGGCCTGGACCAAAACGACGCCGTTTTGCCCATCTGTTTTGAAAAAAAAAGAAGCGCGCGCGAGCACTGCTTCTTCTTCCTCTTCCTGCCCAGTTTTCGCTCAGGGCTTTTGTCGAACAGTTGGCGTGCCTCCGACCCCGACGACCCCAGCTCCAAGAGGTCGCATATGGGAGCTTCAAGGTTGTTTCCATGGTTTCCAAGGGGTCGTGCGACCCCGACGACCCCACTGTGGATCCGCCCCTGATAACAGGTAATACATAAAATGTCTAGGTTGAGTTCCATTTCTTGATATGACATCCGGTCATAAGCTCAGATATGGTTTTATCAGTGGTACTTAAATTGTTCTTATGAAAGTAATTATACAAATAGAGGTCGCACTTGGTGCGATGGCAAGTGTCTTCGCCCATGAGCGGTAGGTCTCGGGTTCGAGACTTGGGAGCAGCCTCTTCCTAAATGGGGGTAAGGCTAGCCGACATTCATCTCTCCCAGACCCTACGTAAAGCGGGAGCCTTGTGTACTGGGTACGACCTTTTTAAAGTAATTATACAAATGCTAGCGTTGTGCCGTTTGTTATAGTTGTATCAGTGGTCTGCAAGTTACTTTTGTTCCTTTGTCATGATTGATATCATTTTTGTGGTGGTAAATTCTTGTCAACTACAGAGACTGGAAGATGAAGGAGAGGCATAAAGTTTTGGAAGGAAAAACACTCAAGGGGATCTCTTGCTAGGTCCGACAGAGAAGCACTGGTCTAATGTAGTATTGTAGACTATATAAATGTCTGATCATGTATATGTGTTTAATTACTCCAAATGAAGTACATTACAATCTCAAAGATTCCAAATAAGTGTTTTTCATTTTGTAAATTATGAATTGTAACATTGGTTTGAATTTCATTTTAGTTTGGAACCTGTAGTACAATTTCACATGAATTTTTTTTGTTGAAGCTGTTAAAAAAATATTGTCATTGGCGTCCAATTTGACGCCCAATATTTTTTTTTAAACCTGGTGGCAATTATTTGCGACACGTTACTTGCCGTTGCAAACCCGTAGTAAATCGTATTTGCGTCGCACTCACAGTGTCGCATATAATCGACCAACATTTACGATGCATAGTTATTGCGATGTGTTACTTGCCGTCGCAAGCCCGTCGTAAAAGGTATATTGCGACGCTTTTGGAAGATTTTGCGATGGATTTTTACCGTCCGAAAAGGCCCTTTGTTGTCGTGATGATTAAACTGATAATATCATATGTAATGTGTGACAATTACACTGAAAATGTCAGAAGTTATGCAATTCACAAATTACTTAGAATAGCAACAATTATTATGATATCTTTTTCTTAATCCACTTACATATATAACGGCTAAAAAGATGCAAAAAGAAAGCAAGTCAAGGCCTTGAAGCAAGAATCATCTCCCTCTTCTGCTTGTAATTCACGAACATTTGATCTGCAGGCTGGAGGCTCTTTTTGATTGCTGGGTTTTCCCTAAAGTTGTTAATCCAATTACATAAGCAAGGGAACTCACTGGCTTGCAGCACTTTGACACCAACCACTTGTTCAATCACTCCAACAGAGGAGGCTATAAATCCCAAGGCCAAGTCAGCCAACCCAATTTCACTGCCACCGAAAAACTCCTTCTCTCCCAGAGCTTGCTCTTCCAGGATCTTGAGTAGATCTCTGACTTCTTTTGCAGCCTTCTCATGTTCTTCCCCATCAGCCACAAAGAATTTGGCAAATGGTACGCTCTGCTTGATCACACAAATTGAAATTTGCATTTGATTAGTAATGACCGAAAAGGCAGAAACTCCAATAATATATAGAAGCAATATATGTTATGATGTCAGATTGTAAATTTGAATTACAATATATATATATATGACATTGCTTGGCATATATAATGATCACCTTTTCGTCTATAAACTTCAACCAGAACCGCGCCAACGCTCTCTCATGAGGGTCATTTGACAGGAGGGGATTCTGGGGCCAAGTCTCCTCAATGTACTCGAGGATCACACTGGACTCAGCGATTGGCTTCCCGTTGTGAACGAGTACTGGGATCTTTTGTGAACTGGGTTGTAATGCAAAAGCAAATCACTCTTGTTAGCCAAATCCTCTTCTATGTATTCGTACTTCACACCCTTGAGCTCTAGAGCCCATACCACTCTGGAACTATATGGACTATGCCAAGCTCCAAACAGCTTCACTTCTTCCATTTCTTGTTGAGTTCTTTGCGTTCGTTAAATGTTCGAGTTCGGCCTCCTTATACAACATGATTCTATGAATAAAGCTTTGAAATATCCTTTTGGAATAGTCAACCGGATGTTGCATTGTTTCTTCTTGGTTTCCTTCTTGACCAATTGAGATGATTTTTCAAGCAATTTAGGTGTGGCATATTAAGAATAGTAATGGAAGGCCCACGCGTTCACGTATTTGAAAAGTTGTCTTGAACTTGATTACCTTAGAATATGCAGGATTTCCTAGCTATTGTCTGCAGACGGCTGTGGTCCTGTGGATATCGTATTTAACAGGCCAAAGAGGCAATCTTTCTGCTATTCTCAATTTTTTATTGAGAATATAAAGTTTCACGTCGTCTTGTAGAATTAAATAAAAGTTATAAATTGAGAACAATATTGATATTTATCAACTTCCTGTTAAATTCCAAACAGCAGCTTCACTTCTTCCAACTTTTTTTCTTGTTTAATTTGTATTCTAAATTCCTCAAGCCCTTGGCCCCCTTATATGTTATGATTCTTTGAATACATAAAGCTTTGAAATTTCCTTTGGAGTTTAACAGGAAGTTGCATTGTTTCTTCTCGGCCTCCCTTTTAACCAAATGAGATGACTTTTCAAAGTAATTTTGAGTGTTCCCCAAGAACACCAATGTTTCTGTGCCAAGTATTTAACTCCAACAGTCAATTGTGGACTATGTACACGAATTTCCAATTTTTTTTCCCCAGACAGGATAACAACTTAATGTTAAATATTTTGAAAGATATTTTACAACGGGCTAATGCATTTATAGCATAGTATGTCAAATATAACTAATATGAATGTAACATTGAATATATTATCATTAGAACGTTGAGATGGTAAGCATTGTTTGTTAAATTCTCAATATATATAGTATGTATGAAAGAAAAGTATGTATGAAAAAGAAAAAGACTCGCACCATCTCCATTCGTCCTTTTCCTTTCCTCATTTCTCCTATCCCACCAAAAGCTTATAGAGACCTATAAAGCTAACGCATTGGTGAGAGCAAATTAGGAAGAAGAAAAAAGCAAGTACTTTACAAAAATGGAAGAAGTGAAGCTGCTAGGTGCATGGCCTAGTCACTTTTGTTACAGAGTCATATGGGCTCTAAAACTAAAGGGTGTCGAGTATGAATATGTCGAAGAAAATCTTACCACCAAGAGTGAACGCCTTCTGCAGCATAACCCAGTTCATAAGAAGATCCCTGTTCTCGTTCATGGCGGAAAACCAATCCCAGAGTCCACTATCATTCTTGAATACATTGAGGAGGTTTGGCCACAGAACCCACTGCTTTCGGATGATCCTTATGAGAGGGCCATGGCTCGATTTTGGATTAAGTTCGAAGAGGACAAGGTGAGAGTCATCAAATTTGTTCACAAAATTTTGAGTTTTAAGTAATTCAAATCTAGACCCGCTTTAGATTTATTTAATTTTAACAAGATGCTCATATTCTTAATTATGAACACGTCTCTTTGCAAAAGTATTTGATAAAAAACTCTGGTCAGCATAACATAATTGTATCTCGAGGCGATATTTATATTTGGACTACAATCTTGATCCTAGAAGTCTAGAACAACCACTAGACAAAAATTTGGCCACATGTATTTAGAAAATGTGACAAATTTTAACATGACACGTTATAAGTGAGTAATAGTCTCATAATAAATTCTCTTTTGGTGTCCCTCTAATCTGTTACAATTATCCTAAGCCTGACTTGTTTACTAACTTTTTATTAGTTTCTTTATAACATCTTAACTGTAGGCTAACTATATATTGAAAATAATCTTGTCGTCAAATCTGTTTACCAAATTATTTGAAATGTTTCATGGATTCACATGTGTATAGCTAATCAAATATCAAATTGAGCCTTGCAGAGTTCAGTTTTTATTGCATATTTTCGATCAATTGGTGAAGAGCAGGAGAAGGCAAAAAAAGAAGCCCAAGAAGCGTTGAAAACAATAGAACATGGACTTGGAGATAAGAAATTTTTTGGAGGGGAGAAAATTGGGTTGGCAGACTTGGCTTTGGGATGGATAGCTGGTTGGCTAGGAGCTATGGAAGAATCAGCTGGTTTAAAGTTGCTAGAACCAAATATGTTTCCTCACTTGCAAACTTGGATACGCAATTTCAAAGATGTGCCTGAGATCAAGGAGAACATACCTCATCATGATGAATTGTTGGCTTATTTCAAACCCCTAAGAGAGAAGTTCATTGCATCATCAAGATCATAGACTAGTTTTTAAATCGAATTACGCTATTGTTAGTCTCGTCTATATGCACATGGCTCAGACTGTGATGCTTAATAGGTTCCGCAGTACATCAACAGTTAGAAATCGCTCATGAT